AAGGCCAAACAAAGTAGTTTCGCTTTCACAACGAAACACACAGGGCCTTCACGACAAGGTGGCGGCAGCAGCAATACTACAGCGAGAATAAAAGTTACGCCTTCTTTCTTTGCGTGAACATTTGGGCGGCGTTATGCAAATCTTCCCACATCGTGACGTAGATATGTGGGGTCGTGTTAGAACGAGCCGTTTTAGGTAGGCGTGGCTGACTCGTAACTTTTATAAAGAATATCTCTTTGGATTTGAGACTTTAATCTTTGCAACTTTACAGATCTTCTTTATGCACCAAGAGCTTGTAACACTCCAAAGAGAAAGGAAAAATTTAAATCGCATCATATGACCCCTTTAAATATTTTGTATGAATGCGTTGGTGTTTTAAAGTGTGACAAATAGTGATCCGTATGGACCAAGCCCCACGGTTCGGCACGCATGTGATCCGCGGATTAATTGCAAAATTGAACCATGATAGAGTATAAGTTTATCATTTGTTCGTATTTACACAAGCAAGCAAATTTTAAACAATTCCAGAGAGAAAAGGCGAAAGGGAACTCGATTAGTTTCTTGCGCGCTGTTCTCTATGCGCACAACCGTGCACATGTGTTTCAGACGCTGCGCGAACACCGAACTGAATCCTCTTCTGAATCCTCTGAACAGACACATACACTCAAAATTATGACATTCAGGTAAACGCAGTTATGTCTCAAGTGAATGAAAACAGCTGAGAAAGAAATCGGATGTGATTTGTATCATTATATCGTATCCGTGCATCAGGTCTTAAAGGGACAGCGGCCTGTTATTTTCACTAATTATTACATTTCTGTATTTGAATACTACCAACCTTATTTTATTTGTAACATATTCTGTTGTATTTATCTATACTTGTAATTTGTGTATTTGTTCTTATTTTTACTGGCTGTTCTATTGTCTCTTTAATCATATTTAAACTTTCTTAGTTAATCTAGCAGTATTTGCTGTGGTATCAAAGAAGTACTTCGCTTTAAGTAATAAATGGAAAGAAAAATAAATTGAAATATTTTTCTTTTCTTGCTGATCTGAAAAATGATCCGATCCGTGGATCAAAAACCATAATGTGATCCGAACCGTGAAATTTGTGATCCGTTGAACCACTAGTGACAAAAGTGTCCAAATATCTTTGGGGCCACCGAATATACTGATATACTTGTGTTCATCTTATGCTAACAGAAATAACCTTGTCTCCTTGTTTATTTATGCTCAGTCATGAGAGGGAGATCATTATAGGGCTTGTTTTGTGTTGTGTGTGTGTGTATGTGTGTGTGAGGCTCTCAGCTGATTTTACTCAATGAGGATCCTGCCAGCAGCACATCACGGGTGAGAGTGTGAGGAAGGAATTGCAGTGTGTATGTTTGTAATGGATTGGTATTCCCTATTTTCTTTTTTCTAAAAACTGAAAATGATCATCAAGCCACCTGAGCTTAATGATTTCTTCGTCTTTACACACACACACACACACACACACGTACAGACTCATGAAGACGCTTAAAGCCCCAACCAACAGACAGCCTCCATTGTCTCGGTTTGCAGTGTGAGCCAGAAAATTAATGGCAATGGCTGTTTGTGTGGCGTACAAACCCCTCCCCCAGAACCCACCAGGGACTATCACCCTCCTTCTCAGCTCGTTAAAAACCTCACCCAAATCAAAAGAGTAATTAACTTTCCACAGAACGCAGGCGCAGAGCAAGATCGCTATCTCTGCACCGTTTTGCTTTCAATGGGGTTTCATAGCCATGAGTTAAATACTGATAACGGCAGGTCAAAAATTCAGCAGGACAGAGGAGATAAACTGCTGAAATGCCCTGTCTGTGACTCTTCCAGATGCTTAAACTTCAAGTAATTTGGACATTTTGTCCCAATCCATGTTTGTCCTTTGCTTGCCTTTGAGTTGATGGAATCTGTTCACTTTTTTCTTTTTCTTACTTGGAGTTTTCATGCTTACAGTTTTCAAAATGTAGAAAAAGTTTGCAGCAAAAAGTGTGCCATACGACTCATATCTGTTTGAAAGTCTTCGCAAGTCACATGATAGCTTTGTGTGAGGAACAAAAGACAGCTGAATTAATTATTCACCGAAAATCTTCCTCTCTTGTCTCAAATCTCATTTGCACTTCCACATATTCAAACTGAAAGATCTTGTCTGGTTATGTGACGCAACAGCCAATAGCGTTTCATATTTACGTCAAACTTGGTGCAATTTACACTACTGTTCAAAATGTTTGCGGCCAGTATGAATTTTATTATTATTTTTTTTAATAATGAATACTATTATTCAGAAAGGATGCATATTATTTATAAACGTACAATGTAATGTGTGTTCTTTTGAATGTATCAGTTCTTTTGAAAATCTATCATAGTTTCTGCAAAATATTAAGCAGCACAAATGGTTTCAATACACTGAAATTTGATAACTGCAGGGCACTTTTGGTGAACTGACCCCTTAAGTATGGTTATTTAGCATCTACTTCCTTTTCCACAGGCAAGCTTTGGTCTCGGAGCATCAAAGTAGCGTACAACATCCTCCACAAACTGGGCACCAAGCAGGAACCTATGGTCCGACCAGGAGACAGGGTGAGCATGACAGAACTTCTTAGAACCAGACCGCTTCAGTAAAGCACCTCATTAAAGAAATGATCAATACTAGTTAACCTCTACATGCTGTCGATTACCACTGAGAATAATTTGGTAATGCACTCTGAATGGAAGTCTGTAAGGCAAGGAATGAATGTTAAAAAATACAAATTTTTCAAAATTAACAAGTTGAATTTTAAAACTGATCAGTTTTAAGAAGATTATTTATGAAAAGTAACTTTTACATTGGCATGTATTCATTTTTAATTGCGTAAAATGATATCTCACACCGCTAAAAGGATGATTTTTAGATAGCTTCACAACTTAAAGCTGTAGTCCACCCAAAAATTCTGTCATTATTTACTCATTTTGTCATTCCAAATCTATATGACTTTTGTGCTTCTGTGGAAGACAAAAGAAAATATTTTGAAGAATGTTGGTTACTATACATTTTTGGTTCCCATTGACTTCTATTGTTTGAACAAAAAATACAATGGAAGTCAATGGTAAACGAAACGGTTTGGTTAAGAAATGCACACAGGTTTGGAATGACATGATTCTGAGTAAATGATGACAGAATTTACATTTTTGGGTGTACTATCACTTTAAAAACTCAAAACTTCTTCAACAAAATGACACAACATTCAAGCTGCATGTTTCTACATTTAAATGTTTTGCACCTTCCACGCAGTATATGCAATTTTGTCTGTTTTTACGTTCTGAGGGATGAGCCAAAATGATTGTGGTAATCGCCAGCATGCTGCAGATGCTGAACATAAAGCATAACTTGTTTTGAACCCAGAGCATTCCTTTAATGACAGAGTGGCGTTTCCTGCCGCATGCCTCGGTTTTAAAGCGTGTCCCTGTCAGATTAGCATACGCTCGTGTTTGAAGTCTGACGCCTTTCCTCTCTTATCATTTCACGAACAGGTGGCTCTTGTGTTCCCCAACAACGATCCCGCCGCCTTTATGGTCGCCTTTTACGGCTGCCTGCTGGCAGAGGTGGTGCCCGTACCCATCGAAGTGCCACTTACCCGAAAGGTGAGACTCTAAATATACCACCATGAATGACTGTCACGTTTTCAAGCCTTTCATGTCTCGATTTTTGACACCATAACAAGTTATAGCGCCTACCCACAATCCTTCTTCCCAGCATGGACTCACATTGTCGAGTGCCAACCTGACAGTCAGTACAGCGCAAAATATTATTATGTATTTATTATTCATGTTTAATGGTAAAGTTGTTACAAAGGCCTTCTGGAAACTTGGCCTTGTAAATAATGCAGTGTCTCGCTCTCTCCGGTCTGCTGTTTATTTTTGAGATCCGTTATCTTTTTGGAATGTCAGGGTGAATGTATCAGCACAGACCCCGCGAGGCTGAGGTATTGCCTCAGATACGTATGTTGAATTTTAGTGGTCGAAGTAAAGGAGGAGAGCAGCTTTGGCAAGAGTCAGTCTGATCCCTTGTATGTCCAAAAATTCCAGGAAAGGACCTGGAAACTGGCAGAACACTCTCTGGCTTCCTCTGCGTGCATTGCACTTCGGAAACCAATAAACTTCTGTCCAGTGCAAAAGCAGCTGTGTGTTTTTCTGCATTTTTAACTTATAGCACAGCATTAGTCTTACAGAAGAGTACTGTGCAAGAACCATGGTCATGTGATTGTGTCCAATGATAATACCATGGTACATCGATGTAGATTCACATCTATGTTTTTATGTATTTGACCTCCACTTTTATATAGAGCCACTTACAATGCATTCAAAATATGCAATTTCAAGCATTCCCTGGGAATTGAACCCATAACTGTGATTACTAAATGATTACCATATTCACATACAGCAGTATTTGCCTGGTATTTATAGGTACTTTGTAAAATATCATGACAGTACCATGTTACATGTGCACAAAACATAGTAATATCATGGTAGTTTGATATATATTACAGTACTGAATGGTATTTACAAGATATCATGGTACTACCATGTTTTTTGGATATGTACCATGGTAGCACCATGGTACTTTACCAAGGAACTGAAATTATACTCCTGAAATTGTATTTCAGAAAACTTGGTAATATGATGGTATTTTGTTCTAAGTGATTAGAATGGTATTTGAGGTATAGTATTACCATGCTACCACACTTACAAAAAAGTACCATGGTACTACCATGTTTTTGATGTGTTTTTCATGTTGCATGAAACTGTGCCCCTTAAATTGTACTCTTAAAAACAATTTAATATGATAACATGTAGTACTATGATAACATTCAAGCATAGTAGTACTGTGGTAAATCTGAATACTTTTTGTAAGGGTACACTGATTAAAAAGTACTGAAGAGTACAATCGTTTTACAATGTTTTTTAAACATGTATTATGGAGTACCATGTACATACATGCATTTCAGTACAAAAACGTAATAATATCATGGTACTGTGATACTGAATTGTATTTACATGATACTTCAAGGTACTTAAAATATTGCCATAGTACCAGACTTAGTAGTACCATGGTACTGAAAAAATAATCCTGAAATCATACTCCAAACACATCCAAAAAGCAATGGTAGTATTACGTTAACAAAAAACTGTGGTACTTTTTTTTTGTAAGGGAACCTGCACCATGTATCGTAGTGCATTTTGTAAGGTCATGTCCAAAAACCATGGTGCATTTTGTTGCAAGGTATTTTTTGATATTTTACTACGTAAAAAAGGTGACATGGACATTTGTCAGGTGGAGGTGATTTTAAAACTCGACCATCCAACATAAAAGAGATATTCAAGCACACCGCAGTATTATGGGTAAACATCATTCCTCAGTGTGCTGTCTGTAATAAGTAGGCCGTCACCTCCCCTGCAGTGTATTTTGCTGCTGTACTGATGATGGATGTTAGCTGGTCTTAGCCTATTTCTGTGTGTGTGTGTATTAGGATGCAGGGAGTCAACAGATCGGCTTTCTCCTGGGCAGTTGTGGCGTTACTGTAGCTCTGACCAGTGACGCCTGCCACAAAGGCCTTCCGAAAGGACCCACTGGCGAAATACCACAGTTCAAAGGTCAGTCTGTTCATACACAACTTTATGTAAGTGATGTCTAGTGTCACGTAGGCAGACTTCAGAATAAAATCTAGTCCACACTCCACAGCTTAAAGGGTTAGTTCACCCAAAAATGAAAATTCTGTCATTAATTACTCATGTCGTTCCAAACCCGTAAGACCATCGGAACACAAACTAAGATATTTTTGATGAAATCCGACAGCTTTCTGACCCTCCATAGACAGCAACGCAATTGAAATGTTCAAGGCCTAGAACTATAGTAAGGGCATCATTAAAAATAGTCCATGTGACATCAGTGGTTCAACATTAATTTTATGAAGCTATGACAATACTTTTTGTGCACTAAGAAAACAATTATTCAACAATTTCTTCAGTTTCTTCAAATTCATCACAGGAATAAATTCCATTTTAAAGTATACTAGAATAGTGAGAGTCTGTGTGGGGCGGCAAGAGCAAGATGGTCCGTATCATGCGTGTGATGTTATCTAAGCCAGACTGCTAGCAGTCAGCGTTTTTTACCCTGTCTGGGCCGCAGTAAGACGAGAGAGGGTATAAATAGAAAACGTAGAGGTAATGAGTCTGTTATTGTTGTAATGATTAAGAAGTCCAGAGAGGATAGTCATTTAGCCTGAGACGGAGAAAAGATGGACTTACTACTCTCATCCCGACGCACATAGTCATTTAGCCTGTCACACTAATCACTCATGCACTCGTTCTTTTGAACGATGAGCACCACTAATAATGATAATGATCGTCATGGCTGAATCATCAAGCTGCATGAATATTAATAAAATTGTATGAATATTCATGTTTTCTCTCTCTTTGGTCCCGTCCACTCATCAGGATGGCCAAAGCTGCTATGGTTCGTCACAGAATCCAAACACCTGTCCAAGCCGCCACGTGATTGGTTCCCTCACATCAAAGATGCAAATAACGACACCGCCTACATAGAGGTGAGCTAACCCATGGAATTATGACCGTTATGGAAATATCAGTTTATTCAAATCATTTTACTGGCCGTTCATACAAATATTCTCCTGAAATGGAAACCATCAGTCTGGGTTTGTTTTCCATGTGCTGCACCCCACCAGCCACTTTAATTGTTTTATGATATCTGATTGGTAGATATTCTATGTCTCGAGCCCCAGAAATCAATATTTCCTATCAGCATGCTGGGCACAGCTGCTTCCATTAGAGAGTCACTGGATAATGGATGATAAATGATTAATGTTTGTTTAATTGTGAATCGGGACTCTTGTAGGAGATGCTGGTTGATGGAGTGGGGCTGGTCTCGTGTTATTGAACCAGTTTTGAGTGAGATGTCTCAATGTTCTTCACCAGCTCCCAGAAATCTGAGAGTCTGTGCAAAGTGGCCGGGTATCCGATGTCCAGTGTTGGCCCGATGTTTGCTTTCCTTTCTACTGTAGTCCTTCATGTTCAAAAGAAAATATATCAACAAAAGAAAAAAATAAGAATTTTTTATTTTATTTAAAGAAGATATAGGCTTTTTTAGGACCATTGGCATTGTTGATTTTTTATCATGACATGATGCACATTTTCCTCTCAAATCTCATTCTCATTACTGTAAAGCTCATAAAAGCTCTTTTTACTGTAATTATGGAGTATGAAAAAAATACAGTAAAGTAAAAAGATATATATATTCAGTAAAACATATTTTCCACCATATTACCATTACTGGAAAGCAAAAAAGCTAATTGTTATATTGGTAATATGAAAAAAAGTATTATTATTAAAAGTAAAAAAAATATATACATATTATTTGGAAAATCAGATTTCCCCCAATTATCCCAATTATAATTTTTGTAAAGCAAAAATGCAATTTTTCGATTATTTATTATGAAATATATATTTATATATATATATATAGATAAATAAAATTTACATTGCTTAAATTGTTAAGTATTTATATATAGTAGTATTTGTTGTACTCCCACTAATTTGTGGGAGTACAACAAATACTACTATATATAAATACTTAACATTTGCTGATTTTAATTAAAATAAACATTGTACTACTGTAATTTAGTAATTTAATAATGTATAATGACAATCTAATCTAATGAGAATAAAAACCGCAAAGTTTAAATGTCTGGAGGCTTTATGGTAATGAAATTTGTTGCGAAAATGTCAAACTATTTAATAATTAAAAAAATTTATAAATGTAAAATATTATTTCTTATTTTGATATTTTTATTTTAAGGTTAAATATGCCCTGGACATGGCCAGTAATTTAGACATGCATCCCTACTGTAGTGCGTTAACCGTCATGCAAACCAAGGTATTTGAAGAGTTGATATTTGTGTTAATGATTGACATTTATGACACTTTTGTGTTGATTTCCAGTATAAGACCTGTAAAGATGGGAGTGTTTTGGGTGTCACGGTGACACGGATCGCACTTCTTACACACTGCCAGGCCCTAACGCAGTCTTGTGGATACACAGAGGGTAAGTCCAAAACACACACACACCGCATTATACCTCTAGGTCAGTCCATTGTCCTTAAATCTCCCTTCTCAGACGATCATGTAGTAAATCTGTCTTCTCTCTTTGTCTTTCAGCTGAAATCATAGTGAATGTATTGGACTTTAAAAAGGATGTGGGTTTGTGGCACGGCATCCTAACTGTAAGTCATGCTTTTGAAAAAAAAAAAGTAAACATAGGATCATATGTTCCACATTCAGGGTGTTAATATCTCACTTCCTGTTTCCCCAGAGTGTCATGAACATGATGCATGTAATCAGCATCCCATACTCCCTGATGAAGGTCAACCCTCTGTCCTGGATCCAGAAAGTGTGTCAGTACAAAGGTCTGTCAGTCAGTGTTCACACTAAATCCAAATTTTTCAGATATGATTAATCAATGGTAAAAAATATGTAATATTCCCAAATAAATTTTTTTTGCATAAAAATTAGTCCAATTAGTACGACCCAACACAGGAGTATGTAGTATTTTTGTGCAATTTTTCTCACCATGTATTCGACTAAATGACTTGAAACTAAATCATATATATTTAAATAATAGTTATGTTTTTTTTGTCGTCATTAAGAAAATCAACCTAGCTTCCCAATAACAAGTAACAAAAAAATGTAATATTTATAACAAAATATTAACCAAAAATATGTAATGAAATATATTAACAATATATTATTAATAACAACTAATATGCTACAGTATTTTCAACTCTCTTTATGAAATCCATGTGTGTGCATTGTTTTGTTTTAAAATATATTTTTGTACCTAACATTCTAAAAATGCTCATTTTTCATGAACTATAACAGGGCAAATTTCTGTATAAATCATTTGTAAATCCTCGCTGAGACCCTTTACATCATGATAGTTAATGAAAGATTTACTCAGAAATTCGTTCTGCTCGTGTTTCATGAATTAATCATATGTAAGGGACAGTGCAATTTGATATGATTTTGGATGTGTCCAATATGGCCATTCTTGTGATATCTCTAGTTCTGTGTGTTTGTGTGCAGGTAAAGTAGCTTGTGTCAAGTCAAGGGATATGCACTGGGCTCTGGTCGCTCATCGAGATCAGAGAGATGTCAACCTGAACTCCCTGCGCATGCTGGTGGTGGCCGATGGATCCAACCCATGTGAGTTCAGCTAGTGTTTTAACTCTTCCTTTCCCTTTCTTTGAGGGTTAAGCAGCTATTTACACACTCAGCAAACTGGCGAACAAGCTAAAAGCATCATTCATAAGTGTATAATATAAATGTGTATACACTCATATTTGGGCCTCTGGGATTATAACTCACAGAAGAGATGAGTCAGGATAGATGATGCGCAGAAGCCATTTCCTTACGTATACAAATACATAGTACACAAATGGACACACTAAAGGACAAAACGTTCCTTCTGCTGCCTATTTCATCCAAATGCCAATGTAAATGCCAGTAAGATACAGTGAATGTGTTTCTGATGGAATATTCAGGAAGCAAAACTGTTTTAAGGGGTCGTATGAGGGGAAACAGGATCTTTTGAGATGAAGATATTGATGTGCTGTGTAGCTGAACATTTACAATGCAAGAATCTCTTTCTAGTCCAAGAACATTTGGGTGAATCTCACAAAAATGCATATTTCAGTCCAAAAGAAAATAGGAAAAGGTTTCAGAAGGGGGAAAAAAACTTAGATTTTTGGAAGAAACCTATATATGGACTGATAATATTTTATTTATCAGTAGCTTACTGAAATATATAATTAATGCAATGCATAATAAATAGATGTAATATTTTTTAAATAATTTAAATGATAAAGTAAAGACATCGCAGTAATATTTGTTGTAGTGAATTTAGCACTGATTTTAAATAAAAATATATTTTCATTACTGTAATGACAATGAAATGTTTAATTTCTTAACTGTATGTATCACGATAATGATAGTTTTAGAGAAAATTGTATTTAATTGTAGTAAAATTAATGTCACAATGCAGTACATTTAATTGTCATATAAATAGACCTGATTTTGTTTATTATTTCATAATTTCCTTTTTTTTTTGAGTGAAATATGACATTAGAATACACAGATTTATATATTCAAATGTATTCTGTTATGTGGCCCATCATGAAGGACTAAAATGTGAACAATCACAATAGAAGTAATTTACATATAGAAATATTAAAGGTACAGTAGCAAAAACAGCCTGTTTAATAAAAAAAACCCTATTTGATTCAAGAAGGCTCAAAAGTAGTTTTCAGGACGAAAATAAATTGAAATGTTAAAAATTTATACAATATGGCCCCCTTAAACTGGATTTTTAAAAATTAACTGTCACTTCAAAAACTATGTTCCCATTGTACCCTACAGAGTTAGAATACGTCTAAAGGTGAGAACTGTTTTAAATGTCATATAAGACAGGCTTCACATTATAGTACGTAATGTTCTCTCTCTCGTTCTCTGCAGGGTCCATCTCATCGTGTGACGCGTTCCTCAATGTCTTCCAGAGTAAAGGTCTGCGGCCAGAGGTCATCTGTCCATGTGCCAGCTCAGCTGAAGCCCTCACCGTGGCCATCAGGAGGTGGGAGGAGTGCTGACACATTGACCATTCACTCACCCTGTAACTTCAGCCCGTATTCATAAACTCTCACTTTTCCATCCAGAACATTTAGATCTTTCTGTTCTGCTTTTACGAGTTTCATAAGCCCCTAAAACATTGGGAAAAATTACAGAAATATGGACACAAACAATTTTTCTGTTGGTCAGACAGACAGATTGAAGTTGATGGTTCATCGAGAGAGCTTTACCGAAGCCTGTGTATGTCTTCAATGCAATTTTCCAAAACCATTTACAAGAAAATAATGTTTTTTTAGGCTGCCTCCATAATTACAGCCCTGAATAGTCCTGACATCTTTGCTTTGTGACCGAATCAAACTCGTGACAGAACGCAGAGCATATGGTTTTCATTCCACAGGATTAACTCCATCGCTGGACGTTTTTACAGACCTTCTCTCTGTCACGACAAATTTGAGGATGAGAACAGCTTGTATGAATTTGAACAAAAAGTGAAATGAATTGAAAGCTAATAAAAGAGCCTGGTGTCACAGATGAAAACATCACTTGTCTAGTGAAGTCAGGGGGGAAAAGTTGATTCAAAGGCGACCGACGATACGTAATTCTGCTGTTTCTGTCATCAAAGAAGTTACGTCATTGTCATTTGTGGATTTACAGAGCAAACTAATCGTAACCTCATTTTTCACCCTTCGCACACATTTGCTTTGGCCCATGTAGTTCACAGAATATTTCTCGCTCTGGTAATAATTTCCTTTCTCGTTATATCTCGTTCTCATTTCAGCTTTAGATGGTCCAACATTTCTGCACTTCTGCTCTGTTCCAAAACTTAATGAGCTGCCTACCTAGACAGCATTTAAAGCATCAAACAGTATGCACGATGGCTGTTAGAAAAAAAAAACATTATGCCACCTTCTAAGATACCTAATTTTTAGAAATAAAATTGCATTGTGCAATCACCCAATATGCTTTACAAGAATGGTCAACTATAAATATACATTCGGTATTGCTAAATATAAAAAATAAAATGGTCAATCAAATGCTGTTGGAACCAACTGTGATTTCCACATCAGTTTCTTGTAATCTTCCTTAAAAGGCAGCTCCCTATGCAGTGTGCAGACAGCAAGGCAGCACACTAGTTTTGGAACAGAGCTGTTATTTCCAGCATACTTCATCGGCACACCCTGTTTTATGTATTTCGCTCAAATGAAGCCTGCTGTACCTTGCCAGAATCTTTGTTAGCTCACACGGGTGTCTTTTAGAGGACATTATGTGTGGGTGGGGCTTAGTGCCGTCCATCAGATTTGGTTGCACCAATCATCTTCTTCATCAGAACTAGTTGGACCAATCAGCTTCTTTCTAAGGTTTACATTGCATTAGAGTCAATGTGAGGACATTAGAGGATATTACAGGATGTGTGGGCAGGGCTTAGTCTTATCTATCAGATCTAGTTGGACCAATCAGCTTCTTCATCAAAACTAGTTGGACCGATCAGCTTCTTCTTCAGGTTTACATTGCATAAGAGTCACTGTGAAATAATTCCATACATTGACATTATGCCACCTTCTAAGATACCTAATTTTTAGAAAAAAAATTGCATTGTGCAATCACCCAATATGCTTTACAAGAATGGTCAACTATAAATATACATTCGGTATTGCTAAATATATATAAAAAAAAGGTCAATCAAATGCTGTTGGAACCAACTGTGATTTCCACATCAGTTTCTTGTAATCTTCCTTAAAAGGCAGCTCCCTATGCAGTGTGCAGACAGCAAGGCAGCACACTAGTTTTGGAACAGAGCTGTTATTTCCAGCATACTTCATCGGCACACCCTGTTTTATGTATGCTCAAATGAAGCCTGCTGTACCTTGCCAGAATCTTTGTTAGCTCACACGGGTGTCTTTTAGAGGACATTATGTGTGGGTGGGGCTTAGTGCCGTCCATCAGATTTGGTTGCACCAATCATCTTCTTCATCAGAACTAGTTGGACCAATCAGCTTCTTTCTAAGGTTTACATTGCATTAGAGTCAATGTGAGGACATTAGAGGATATTACAGGATGTGTGGGCAGGGCTTAGTCTTATCTATCAGATCTAGTTGGACCAATCAGCTTCTTCATCAAAACTAGTTGGACCGATCAGCTTCTTCTTCAGGTTTACATTGCATAAGAGTCACTGTGAAATAATTCCATACATTGCTGTAATCTGGTATTTTATTTCACATTTTAGGCCTACGGATGACAGTAACCAGCCGCCGGGTCGAGGAGTGCTGTCTATGCAGGGTCTGAGCTACAGTGTCATCAGAGTGGACTCAGAAGAGCGTCTCTCCGTACTCACCGTACAGGATGTGGGCACCGTGATGCCAGGAGGTACACATATCTACATGCACAACTGGTTCTGAGAAAGTCTAAAATGTGGCTTTGTACATATTTTTGTACGTTTAGTGTTAATGCCATCAAAGGAGAGCATTGTGTAATGTATGCCTCTCTCTGTGTGCTGTATTTACTGCTTCATAACGTATTTATTGATGTTGTGTATGTGCAGCTCTGATGTGTGTGGTCAAACCAGAGGGAGTTCCTCAGCTGTGCCGAACAGATGAGATCGGAGAGCTGTGTGTGTGTTCCATCGCCACGGGAATGTCCTATTATGGGCTCTCGGGCATGACAAAAAACACCTTTGAGGTTTGTGTCCTATCAGAGCGAGATCAATTTGCCTGTAGTTAGACGGATTCTCCTACCCAGAATCCCCAGACCTCTGCTCGAACAGATGCTAAAGTGCTCCGATCAAAGTCTTTTCCTTGGCTTGTTTGTTAAATTGCTCTGAAATAGTGAATAGGGTATTTTCTCAAGGCCAGTTGACACAGAGTTTGATATCTGAAGCCTGTTTTCACCTAAAGTAAAACAATAAAGCAGGAGATAGTGAGATTAAGTTTCTAAAAATTAAAACCACAAATTTGAGATACAGTATAAAGTCATACTATGAGATATGAAGTGCCAGTTGTAAGATATCAAGTTGAATTTGTGAGATAAAATGTCATCATTTTGAGAAACAGTTGCAATTGTGAGATAAAATGTCACAATATGAAATAGTCGCAATTGTGAGATCTAAAGTTGCAGTTGTTGCAATTATGAGAAACAAAGTTGCAGTTGTGAGAGATCAAGTCACAATTGTCGCAATTGCCAGATATGAAGTCACAATTGTGTGATAAAATGTTGCAATTATGAGAAATTTTGAGATATTAAGTTGCAATTTTGTGATAGAATGTCGCAATTGTGAGCTAGGAAGTTGCAGCTGTTGCAGTTATGATAAACAAAGTTGAAGTTGTGCGATATTAAGTTGCAACTGTCAGATATGAATTCGCAGTTGTGAGATATGAAGTCGCAATTGTGAGATAAAAAGTTGCAGTTACAAAAAACTAAAACGCAAGTACTTCTTCCTCACAAAGGTGGAAACAGACTGCAATAAATGACTAAATGACACAAAAGTTTCACTCTCCAAAACCATTTAGCTACCAAACATTTTCAGACATTTCATTAAATTGTGTGGTAGCAAAATAATTAACATTTTCACTAGCCTCTGAATAAAATAAAGAGACGTATCTTGGGCTAATTTTTCTAGATTTCTGTCATTTACGAAGGAAATCTGTTGAGTTACATTAATTCTAGAAGTTTAATCTAAGTTTAAATTGTAAACCAATGAACATTTCACCGTAATGTTCAATGGATGAGAAGTGACTCCATAGCAAAGATTCTAGAGGGAATTTCTGCATTTTTATACAGTATTTAATTTACAAACGTGTAGTTTTATCTTAAACTTTGGCTTTTGTTTTGCTGCCAGGTCTTCCCCATGACCAGTTCTGGGGCTCCTATCAGCGAGTACCCCTTCACTCGGACAGGGCTGCTGGGCTTCATAGGCCCGGGTGGGCTGGTGTTTGTCTCTGGAAAGATGGATGGGCTGATGGTGGTGAGCGGACGGAGACACAACGCTGATGATATCGTCGCAACAGCGCTGGCAGTGGAGCCCATGAAGTTTGTGTACAGGGGCAGGTGAGAACACAACAAAAACAAACAAACAAAGCGTATTCTTTTTTTGTCATCAAAGAACGGGTGATATATATATAGCACATGAGCTTGTTTGCTGTGGACATGCAGAGTGCTAATTAAATGGATTCAACACCTGCTAAGGCGGCAGGAGCGAGAGCGTGTACCCTGTGTGTTGTAGTAGAGTTGTTCTGTTTTAGTTGCCTGTGTGAAATTACCTCGGGTTTTGTTTATCAGTTTTCTTAGAGCTTTATGCAGTGTGCTAAACCACAGTGTTACAGTAATAAACTAACGTAGCTCTGCAGGGTTTTTATCGCTAACTAAAACGATAAAAACACTTTCATTACTTGAAATAAAATACATTTTAACTGAAATCAAATTAATCATGTTAAAAAAAAACTTAAGCTTATTTTATTTCAGCTTGTTGCCAAGGCCACGTTTCTCTTTTTCGTTTAGTTTAAATTAAAGTACTAAAATAACTAAAACTAAATAAATAAAAAACTAAAACAAACAAACAAAAATACTATATAGAGATAAAAACCTAAAGAAAATGACAAAAGCACAATAAAATGACAAAGCCTTTAAAATGCTTAAAATTCTCATTGAAAACAAAAAAGTAAATATAAAAATAAATATCTAATTCAAAACTATAATAATGAATTTGTAGCACACTGTAGTTTATTTATTTGAACGAATCCACAAAAAATACAAATATTACTTCAAATATTTGTAATAAATGTAATTATTATAATAAATTCTAATTTAGTATTACAATGTTATAATAATTGTTTTATATATATATATTTTATTGACATTTTTAAATCGTATTAATCTTTTAAAAAAAGTATGTGTGTGTGTGTATATATTAATTGTTATAATTCTAAATATTATTATGGTTAATTAATAATGATTAATAAATATATGTAATTATTAACTATAACAATGAATTACTAGAATTATTATTGTTAATTTAATTATTCATTATAATAATAATAATGTTCAGTATATCGCGGTCACTAACATGGGCAGTTCATGATTTGAGATGTTTTACATGTTGGTCTGGAGCTGGATTTTCAGGCTCTGAATCTCTTTTCTGTATGTTTATATTCAGGATAGCTGTATTTTCTGTGACGGTCCTGCATGACGAGAGAATTGTGGTCGTAGCCGAGCAGCGGCCGGACTCCACAGAGGAGGACAGCTTCCAGTGGATGAGTCGTGTGCTGCAGGTATTTGTTCTTTTTATACCCACCCTTGCCAATCGATTCAGGCAGTGGCGACTTGCTATTCCCATCCAGTCTGACAGGAGTCACCTTAATCGCTACATATTCCCAGTCACCATCCAAACTGAATTAGAGATCTCGCTACTGCTGACCTGCATACTTTCTGTCAGCACTTTACGAGTCTTTACCGGCATGTAAAAATAACAAGACGCACTCAGGCACACAGGCTGGCCTTCATTTCCACACACCCAGACGGTTCCATTCCACTCTTTTGTTGTAGGTCATTAATCTTGCAAATATGGTATTTTTTCCTTCCACTTCCTGAATTCCCGTTTGGTAATTTGGTTCTCCCTGAGGCATCGGTAAAGGTCAGTGGCTGCATCAGATCTCAGCTGGCAGCCTCTTCTCTGCTCCTTGCGAGCTCTATTTTTAAACCTCACCTGACAATCCAATACGTCTCTTTCTGCAGGCGATAGACAGCATCCACAACGTCGGGGTGTTTTGTTTGGCATTGGTGCCCGCTAACACCCTTCCCAAAACTCCTCTGGGAGGGATCCACCTGTCGGAGACCAAGCAGCTGTTTTTGGAAGGCTCCCTGCATCCCTGTAACGTCCTAATGTGCCCTCACACCTGCGTCACCAACCTGCCCAAACCCAGACAGAAACAGCCAGGTCTGTCTGCGGCAAGGTCACCTTGGATGTCGCACAAAATTAGAACTGTCAGAAAAGCTGTGTGTGTGTTGTCATCTGTTTGTTTGTGATGATCATCCTCTGCTCGCTTATGCAGAGATTGGCCCCGCCTCTGTGATGGTGGGAAACCTGGTCTCGGGGAAGAGGATCGCTCAGGCCAGCGGCAGAGATCTGGGCCAGATCGAAGACAATGATCAGGCAAGAAAGGTGTGTGTGTGGTAACATGGGGCCTCGATTTTCATCCATCATTCATTCTCCCTTCCCTCTTATTCATTCCTCACCTCCAGCAAACGGAGTCCCATCCAGCAAAGAATAGAGACAAAATAAGCACATATTTGTGTTTCAGTACATTTAAATAACTGATACTGAGAGATATAAGCTGCTTTAGGGTGTTTTATAATTGCTCTCAGAGGAGATGTAGCACACGGGTACAAAACTGAGGAAAAAATGCCAGTGAATGAGAATATTTACAAGTTAAGAAACTGTATTTTGCTTTGTATTTTTTGTATAATTATATATAGTTATAGTTTTAGTTATATATTTATACATACAATATTCTTTAAAATTATGTTGAATTTTTATTTGAAGTATATATATATATATATATATATATATATACACACACACACACGCTGCACATACATACATTTTATTTCTTTTAAATACTTTTAAAAAGGAAGCAGTAAAATTTTATTTTTTCTTGCTTATTTTTAAAAAATAGTTGTTTGTTCCCTCTAGTCATTTTCTCAGCATAAAATATGAGATGATTCATTCTCCTGCAGCTGTCATAAAAACGTATAGACAGATTGTGATTTTCCTCCCTGTGTTTTCATTTTGGTGGCTTAATGTTAGGAATGTTCCACATGTATTACCACATGGGTAATTTTAGGCCTCTTAATTAAACCTCTGATAGTACATTTTCCAAGTTACTTGACAACGGGTGAGTCACAACAGATGTTTTTCTTTAGTAGCCGGTGTGGATTTGAATCTCTTGTGTCACTTACATCAGCGAGAGTCAGATAATCAATCTTACAATTCGAATTAAACATGTTGCAATCCCTTATAAATTTACCGGCCAACTTATTACACACATTTGGCACCCACCGAGTATTCATTTTGGACCCACTGTGTGGCACGCAGTAATTGTCCCAACTAGATTTGTTGTAGAGGAACTGACCCCTGACAGCTTGTCAGACCTCTTGCTCTCTGCCAGGGTCGTTTCATACCCGACCCCTACAGAGAGCATTCTGGGAAACTGTTAAAACATTATGTCACCGAATCAGAACTTGACAATTTTGTGCTTCTAAAACGTTCGCTTTTTGCCACTTGAAAGTTAGGATTTTGCAGAAAACGTAAAGTACTCCATTAGAATAATTATTGCACGCTGGGCTCTGTTTGGGAGGGATGGTTTGGTTGTTTTTTGTGCTGTTAGTGTTGAGTTGATGTCTTTGGTTTTGCTGTGCTGTCAGTCAACCACCTCAACGCAAATCCAATCCATTACGCTGCCCTCTCAGGCTGAAAGATGGCAGCCATTATTCCGTCAGCATGTCTGCTGTGCACCACACCGTAACCTTAACACACACACAGCTGTCGGCCGCACACACAAACCACGTATGCTCACACACATTCAAACAAACATGTGCACAGACCCAAAAATGCACACACACACATTGCCGCAACAGTTGTTGGCTGCTGCCTCTTGCTTGCCTTCCTCATCCTCTCTCTTTCGCTCATTCCTTCACACCCTTCCAGCCCTGCATGGGTATGCGCTGACTCCGACAAATGTTACCTTTGCCATCTGCGCCGCTTAAAGAAACACTTGACTATTTTCCATTTTTACACCCCCCAAGCTTGTGTTGTTGATGTTTTTTTCATTGCTTCCATCCATTCATGCCTATGAAAATCGGGCCCGTTGAGTGAATGGAAATAGTTTTATTTCATTCTTCTAAGAGGAGGAATGCATTCCGATGTGAGACTAACTCTAGGAGATGAGGTAACACATGACTGCATTCATTTCCAACCTTCAGATAACACCAGCACCACTTGCTAAGGACTTTAACAGGTCTTGCTAATTGAAAAAAAGCATCCTGTTAAACAGTTACTCTTTAAATATCATGTTACTTTTACAATATTGCATTTGGCAAAACAATAGATTGAATCAGGTTTGTTTAACACCCACCTACTCATATGCAAACAATTAAAACAAACTATGTATTAACATTTTCTGATTCAACTTATGAATAATGATATGGCACTTTGGGAATATTATATAATCTCCATTAAATACTTAAATATATCAGATTTTGTAATAATCATCTCGGACTTCCTTTTTCCACCCATAGTTCCTCTTCCTGTCTGAGGTGTTGCAGTGGAGAGCCCAGACCACTCCAGATCACGTGCTCTTCACCCTCCTCAGTTCAAGGGTATGATGTGTATTTTATATTATATATTATATATTTTCTTTAAAATATATTCTCCTTTTAAATTAATTAATAAAATATAAAATGTATAAATACATACATTACCGTTTAAAAGTTTGGAGTCAGTAAGATGTTTATTTATTTATTTTTTATTTTTGAAAAAAGTCTGCTCACCAAATATGCATTTATTTGATGAAAAATAAAGTGAAAACAGTAATATTGTGCAATATTATTACAGTTTAAACTCTCAGGCTGAAAGATGGCAGCCATTATTCCGTCAGCATGTCTGCTGTGCACCACACCGTGACCTTAACACACACACAGCTGTCGGCCGCACACACAAACCACGTATGCTCACACACATTCAAACAAACATGTGCACAGACCCAAAAATGCACACACACACATTGCCGCAACAGTTGTTGGCTGCTGCCTCTTGCTTGCCTTCCTCATCCTCTCTCTTTCGCTCATTCCTTCACACCCTTCCAGCCCTGCATGGGTATGTGCTGACTCCGACAAATGTTACCTTTGCCATCTGCGCCGCTTAAAGAAACACTTGACTATTTTCCATTTTTACACCCCCAAGCTTGTGTTGTTGATGTTTTTTTCGTTGCTTCCATCCATTCATGCCTATGAAAATCGGGCCCGTTGAGTGAATGGAAATAGTTTTATTTCATTCTTCTAAGAGGAGGAATGCGTTCCGATGTGAGACTAACTCTAGGAGATGAGGTAACACATGACTGCATTCATTTCCAACCTTCAGATAACACCAGCACCACTTGCTAAGGACTTTAACAGGTCTTGCTAATTGAAAAAAAGCATCCTGTTAAACAGTTACTCTTTAAATATCATGTTACTTTTATAATATTGCATTTGGCAAAACAATAGATTGAATCAGGTTTGTTTAACACCCACCTACTCATATGCAAACAATTAAAACAAACTATGTATTAACATTTTCTGATTCAACTTATGAATAATGATATGGCACTTTGGGAATATTATATAATCTCCATTAAATACTTAAATATATCAGATTTTGTAATAATCATCTCGGACTTCCTTTTTCCACCCATAGTTCCTCTTCCTGTCTGAGGTGTTGCAGTGGAGAGCCCAGACCACTCCAGATCACGTGCTCTTCACCCTCCTCAGTTCAAGGGTATGATGTGTATTTTATATTATATATTATATATTTTCTTTAAAATATATTCTCCTTTTAAATTAATTAATAAAATATAAAATGTATAAATACATACATTACCGTTTAAAAGTTTGGAGTCAGTAAGATGTTTATTTATTTATTTTTTATTTTTGAAAAAAGTCTGCTCACCAAATATGCATTTATTTGATGAAAAATAAAGTGAAAACAGTAATATTGTGCAATATTATTACAGTTTAAAATAACAAAAGTTTGGGATCAGCAAGTTTTAATTAATTAATAATTTTTTTTTATGAAGTCTGCTCACCAAATCTGCATTTATTTGATTAAAAAATCAAGTTAAAACAGTAATATTGTAAAATATTATTACAATTTAAAATAACTACTTTCTATTGTAATACATTTTAAATTGAATTTATTCCTGTGATTTCAAAGCTGAATTTTCAGCATCATTACTCCAGTCTTCAGTGTCACATGATCCTTCAGAAGATTTGCTGCTCAAGAAACTTCTGTTATTATGGAATTTACGATCTGTTATTATGGAACAATCGCTTACGATTGTTGTGAAAACTTTGGATTTTTTCTTTTTTCAGAATTCTTTCATAAATAGAAAGTTCAAAAGGACTATATATATATATTTATAAATGAAACAAAACTACTTTTATTCTGGGTTAAGAAGGTGTCAGCTAAACATTAAACATCTTCAACATTTTCAAGTGTAGTCCTACAAAGAAATGTCTTTGTTTGTTTCTGCACCATTTCCCCCCTCTAGGGAGCAGGAATTGGTTTCATAAATGATGCTGCCCTGGTTTTTCGAGGGATACTTTTTTAATATACTAAATATGCGGCCATTTATCATCGCAGGCTATTTTGAACACCACATGCCCTCCATAGAAAAGTTGTGATAACTCATCCTGAACTGAGAACTGTGAGAAAACTGACATGTTTGTGTATGTGTGTGAACGAAGGGAACAGTCCTGAGCTCACTGACGTGTCTTCAGTTGCATAAGCGGGCGGAGAAGATAGCAGCCATGTTGATGGAGCGAGGCCACCTGCAGGACGGTGATCACGTTGCGCTGGTGTACCCGCCTGGTACGACACCATCAGCTACACATCTACAGCTCTAAATCTGTGATCAGCCCCACTATTTTCATATTCTTATACCCGGGGTCTCAAATTATGTGGCATCAGGTGAACGGTTGAACAGTTTAGTGCAGTAACTATGTCTAAGATTAGGACACCAGACATTTGACTTGGATATAATGGACAGAACTTATTTAAAGGGATAGTTCATCCAAAAATTTTAATTCTGGTATAATTTACTCACCCTCAAGTTGTTCCAACCTAGTATGAGTGTCTTTCTTCTGTTGAAGAATGTTGGTAACCAAACAGTTGACGATAGCCATTGACTTCCATAGTATTGTTCTTTCATGCTGTGGAAGTCAATGGCTACCGTCAACGGTTCAGCTGTCCCTTTAAATGTACTTGATACTTGAGAGACCCAATGAAATTAGCGGATGATTTAAGACCAGTAATCTAGGATCAAATATTAAAATCGACTCATATAGGCATTTTTAATTTACAGGAATCGATTTGGTTGCTGCCTTTTACGGATGCTTGTATGCCGGCTGTGTACCAATTACAGTGCGACCCCCACACCCGCAGAACATCGCCACCACCCTGCCCACTGTGAAAATGATTGTGGAAGTGGGTGTTGAAATGAAATCCTTTCTTATATAGTTTGATAAGTTAAAAAATGGCCACTAATGTATGAATTTGTGTTCAGGTGAGCCGATCGGCCTGTGTGATGACCTCACAAGTAATTTCCAAGCTCCTGAAGTCAAAGGAGGCATCTGCCGCAGTGGACGTCAGGTCGTGGCCTCTTGTTCTGGACACAGGTGAGAGTGGGTCAAAGGTCAGATGGCTTCTTAATGTCTAAATGAACATTCACTTAAATATCTTACATGTTTTCCAGATGATCTGCCAAAGAAGAAGCCCCCTCAGCTCTACAAACCCTCCAATCCAGACACGCTGGCTTACTTGGACTTCAGCGTCTCCACTACTGGGATGCTTGCAGGAGTAAAGGTGAGTATTAATCATCCCTTGTTGTGTGTAATAAGAAACCCCTGCTCTTTATTTCCCCAACACAAAAAAACAGGAAGAAAACGTTTGAAAACTCATCTCAGAGACATAAAACCCTCTCAGTTAGCCGCTGGTGAGATCAGGTGTCATATGCACAGAGGAACTTTTCTTCTTTATTGTTTAAGAGATGAAAACCAGGTTTTGAACAGGCAGCCGCTATTATGTCATAGGAGCCATGAGTGTTTGCGGAGACCACCCAGTATTGTGTAGTTCTTCTGTTCTTTTGACCAAGAACTGATCATTTCAGTCCCTCAGAAGTCCTGTTCAGCCATATACATACCCCATACACTTATATTTTGCTAGCATTTCCACATGGCAGCCCACAAAATAACTCATGAGTCCTCATTGTCTCATTATGAATAAAATCAAGCACAGTTGTGTGGCATGTTATAGTTTTAGTTTTAGTTAACTGTATTAATTATATTTGTATTTTCATTTTTTATATTTTTTATGTGTCTTCTCAGATGTCCCACACAGCCACCAGTGCCTTTTGCCGCTCTATAAAGCTTCAGTGTGAGTTGTATCCCTCTCGTGAGGTGGCCATCTGCTTGGATCCGTACTGTGGCCTCGGCTTTGTCCTCTGGTGCCTCTGCAGGTGAGAGATGTCGCCTGATACAATCACAATCATCCTAATAGAGCAGGTTAAAGGCCTGGTCACAACAAGATTTCAGCAGGAAACAATGCATCTTTATGAACTCATTCACATCGTGTCCGCAGTTTTGTTGATTTGTCTTTTTCAAAGGAATGTTTAGGGTTCAATACAAGTTTAGCTTAGCAAGTTTAGTTTCCTTAGAAAATTATTTCCATCCTTCAGTTTGTAAAAACAAGCAATAATTGTATTTACAGTTAGAATGGAAACCTGTGGGGCCTGCCATTGCACGAAATAAATGATAAAATATACACTACCGTTCAAAATTTTGGAAACAAGGCTGTATTAATTTGATCAAAAATGTAGAAGAAACCCTGTAATTTTGTGAAATATTATTGCAATTTAAAATAACAGTCTTTTTCAGGATTCTTTTATAAATAATAAAAAAAAACTAAAAAGGACAGCATTTATTCAAAATAGAAGTCTTGTGTTATAATATACAGTATCGTTCAAAAGTTTGGGGACAGTACATTTTTTTTCTTTCTTTTTTTTTTTGAAAGTAAGGAATACTTTTAATTCAGCAAGGATGTGTTAAATGGATAAAACATGATAGTAAAGACTTATATTGTTAGAAAAGTTTTCTATTTTATAAAAATGCTGTTCTTTTAAAAATTGTATTCATCAAAGAATCCTAAAAAAAGTATCACAGGTTGCAAAAAATATTAAGCAGCACAATATGTTTCCAATATTGATAATAAATCAGCATATTAGAATGATCATGTGGCACTGAAAACTGGAGTAATGACTGAAGAAAATTCAGCTTTGCATCGCAGAAATAAATTATATTTTTAAGTATATTATAATACAAACTGTTGTTTTAATTTGCAATAATATTTCACAAAATGACAGGGTTTTTTTCTGTATTTTTTAACAAATAAATACAGCCCTGATGAGCATAAGAGACTATTAAAAAACATGAAACATCTTACTGATCCCAAACTTTTGAACCTCAGTGTACTTTATTTTAAATAAATTAAATTAATTTAAATAAACTTTATTCATTTATTTACATATTTACAGCGAACCTTTACTTAAGTGCTTTACAGAAAAAACGAATATAGTATAATATATAATTAGTGCTTTCAAATGATTAATCGCATCCAAAATAAAAGTTTTTCTTTACATAATGTATGTATGTGTACTGTGTATATTTTTATGTATATATAAATACACACATGCATGTATATATTTCAGAAAAATACGTTATGTTTATATATTAAATATATGTATTTATAATCTAAATTATATAAATATAGACATGTAAATACATGTAAATATTTTCCAAAATAAATACTGTATGTGTGTGTATTTATATATACATAATAAATATACACAGAACACAGACATATATTATGCAAACATAAACTTTTATTTTGTGATTAATCGTTTAACAGCACTATATATAATGAATCAGTAAAATATATAAACAATAAAAACAAATTCAGAGAATAAAATAGAACAAAAAAATAAGAAAATAAAATGCAGAAAACGTCTCTAGGTTACGTATGTAAACATGGTTCCCCTTCAGGAACTCGAGCTGCGTCGAGTCGCTTTGGGAACGCCCTTGCGTGACCGCGTTCTGAAGCACGTGTCAAATCCGTCCAATGGAGCAGCGAGACGTCACGAGCAGGGTGACGTAAGCACCAGAAAGCATAAAGGCACATCCGGCCGGGCGCAAACCAGCTTCTGCTCTTCAGTAGCGCTCTGTGTATGTGTCTGTCTATTTACTGTTGTCTGTCCGCACAAGCACTCATATATATAAAACAATGAGAAAGTCTATGGCGAGCGAACGGCATTACAAACGCTGTGTAATTAACGTCTGCTCTGAGTTAGTGAAGGAAAGGCCGTCCGTGCCTCCTGGCGAGCCTGTCTTGTAAAATCTTGTTTTATTTACTCTGATTTAGTCATTGAGATTGCCATAGTTACTAACTGCAGTCTGGAGCCGAATACAGTTTATTAACATCACAACGATCAATGAGGAGGAAAAAGGAGACATTTTTTTGTATAATGAGGTAGAACTGTGAAAATGTTTTCTTTTATCCAGACTTTGTCTTTTCAGCTCCTTCAGCTCTTCTTTAAATGGAGCTTACAGAAAAACATTAGAATAAATATAATGTATAAATTGACCCTGTTAACTTTTAGTGCATCTAAAGAAAAATATATTATATTATATTATACTATATTTGTAATTGATTATGGTTATTAGAATTATATTATTAATTTGTAATGTATTATAATAATAACACAGCCTTGACAACATCAGCCGATAAAAAAAAGAATCATTGAAAATGTTTACATTTAAAATTAAAATATTTTAATATAAAAGTATATCTGAAGTTATTTAAATATATTAATATCAATATTTAAATGTTTAAAATAATATATTACTATATATTAATTTGAATGATTTATTTATTATTATAATTAATATATAGTAATATATATTAATTATTATTATAATTAATATATATGACTATATATTAATTATAATAATAAATAAATCATTCAAATATCAAGTAACATTTAAATGTATAATATATAATGTAATATAAGTATTATTTGTAAATAATACTTTTCACTGAATTATTAGCTGATATCAACAGCACTGTGTGGGCTGGAAAATAATATCAACAAGTAATATTATAGTAGAATAACATCCACGATCCAGTCCAGTCCTGATGTGTACAGTCAATCCTATGCTACATTATTTCTCTCTGGGTATTATATTTGGTCAAAAGGCATTTTTGGTATGCTTATTAATTATAATTCGGAATATGATTATATTAATATAATTAATATAATATATTATAATACCTTGGTGACATCAGCTGGTGGGAATGAATCCTTAAAAATTATTACATTTAAAAAATAAAATACATTAATATTAAATATATTTCCAATGTAATATATATTTAATTAATTCATATACTGTATATTACTGTATTATTCTTGATAAAAATAAGAATTATTAATGCTGTTGTATTTATGTATTGTTTCATTGTTTTAAAAATGTTGGAAGTTAAATATATATTATTATTTATTTTTAATAGCACTAAATGTTTTAGTTACACTTGACAAAATGTAAAGGCTGATGACTCATTTGCTCTCTCTCTGTCTTTCTCTGTCCTGTCCCTAAGTCCCGTGGACTTGACCTGTCCCGTGTGAGGACGTGTGTGGTCGTCGCTGAGGAGAGGCCCAGGATAGCCCTCACCCAGTCCTTCTCCAAGCTCTTTAAAGACCTGGGCCTGCACCCACGAGCCGTCAGCACTTCCTTCGGATGTAGAGTGAACCTGGCCATCTGCCTGCAGGTTAGTGTGTGTGTCAGCAGTTAATCTAGTGCTGGCCAGAAAACACGAGGCAGAGATTGGGCCGTAATCCCAATCCCAGCGTTGTTTTAGCAAGCCAACTGCAGCCGGGATTAGTGTTTAGACTTTGCGAGAGGATTTCGTTGTGCCTTTAGTTTGCGTTCTGAGTGAGAGTAGAGCAGCATTGTTGGATATCCTGAGGTTATCGAGGTAAAATTAGGTCACCGCTGAAGTAAACGTATATCTAGAACACATGTCAAAAATAGTACTTGTCAACTGATATGGGGTTTTCCAAAGCTGCTGCTGAGTATAGTGGCCGGTTGATGATATAATGCTGGTATATCATTCATATACTCATTCAATATAGCTATTTCTACTATATTTTTTATCAAATAAATGCAGCCTTGGTGAGCAAAAACATTAAAAACCCTACTGACCCCAAATGTTTAAATAGTACTGTATAAAATATAATAAAACAACACTATAATCAGCATTTCATGCCCATTCGTTTATTTATTTGGTATCTATGCATTAAGTGGGGTAATGCCTTTGTCATGAAATAAACCTCCTAACACAAGACTCTGAGCAGTTATAACTTCCACCCACCTGCTTTCATGAAGAATTTTTGTTACCAGGCAAGAAGCACCACACCACTCAGTCATACTACAGATGTTTCTATGGTTACATACTAGAGATATGAATTGTTTTACACCTAGGAGTCTAATGACCATTAAATCATAAAATACTCTGAACAACCTCACAGGCAAAAATGAGAAGCTTTGAGTTCAACTAAAGTCAAAATGAAATCTTTTGAAATCTTACAATATTATTATATAATATATAATTACAGTAGTCAACATTTAAAGTGGATCAAAACCTTTCATCAAAGTCGTCCTAAAACCAAAAACCAAAATGCCTTCTTGTCTTAGGACAACTTTGATTAACTTTTTGATCCATTTCAAATGTGGACAGCTGTATAATCTTATTATAATATAAATATAATCTAGATATAATCTCATTATAATATAAATAGAATCTATTATAATAACAGCCTTGGTGACATCAGCTGCTAAGAAAAATTTGTTAAAATTAGAATGTGATATATATATATATATATATACATACATAAATACATATATATGGGTAGTTGACAAATATACCGTAAATTGTCCTATGGTGTGACAGCAAAAAATTTTAAGAAAAAAAAACGAATGAAGAAAAATCTCTCTTATGCTATTTGTATATTATTAACAAGAAATTAATTATTGATAATGATTCATTATTGTTTTCTAAATTTTATTGTTACACCATAGGACACATGTACGGTGTATATATATGTTAACAACCCATATATACAGTGGGGCAAAAAAGTATTTAGTCAGCCACCAATTGTGCAAGTTCTCCCACTTAAAAATTAGTTTGCACTTATTCAGTTTTTGCTCTATTTTAATATATCTTTTTAAAATATCTTCCAACTAGACTTTGAGCATGCAAAATTTCTTTTTACAAGACTTAATCATGTATACTTTATATACATGAGGTTTTAATCACTAATCTTGGCTGTCTAAAGTTATATTCAATTTCCACCACTTGTAAATTAAATAAAACAGATTTTTTCCCCCCAGAAGAATGAATATTGCTTTCACAAAACTACAAATTCACTCAATTATGAGTCAGTT